AGCTGGTCCCACTGCGCCGCCCATCTGAGGAGCTGCGGGAGTTACCGCTGTGCGAGGTGTTCCTGCCCTTGCCAGTGGACCTGTCCCTCTCCGAAGTGGTGTCAGAGGCCGTGCTGGAGGTGCTGCTACCCTTCGAGTTTAGGTGCAGACTCGAGAGATTTCTCGTCAAGCTGTGCGAGAAGGGAGAGGAGTTTCTGGAGTGGCTGATGGACGTGAGCTGGTAACTGACGGGACCGCGCATCCTCCTCACGGCAGCGGCGTAGGAGTCCTGGCTGCGGAGGTAGGGCAGGTAGTGGCTAACAGTGGTCGGGCTGTGGGGGTGGCTGTGCTGGAGAGAAGTGGCTTTCGCTATTTGGTGCATCCGCAGCATCTGCATCCACTGGCTGTCAATGCCTGGCAGGGAAATGGAAACGGAGTCAGCTTTCTGTGAATTGATGCAAAACTGCTCTCTAGTTTACCAAAGATGTGAGGTTAGGTACCAGGTTTTCCCTCTGAAGAACCTCTACATATCTCAAACCACCATTTCCCTCCCAACCTTGCAGCAATTAGTCATAGAATCATAGAACGGTTTGGGTTGGAAGGGACCTTAAAGACCATCTAATTCCACCCCCCCTGCCATGAGCAGGGACACCTTCCCCTAGATCAGATTGCTCAAAGACTCATCCAACCTGGCCTTGAACGCTTCCAGGGATGAGGCATCCACAACTTCTCCAGGCAACCTGTTCCATTCCTAGGTTTGAGTATGTTCAGCATTGTGAACGTAATGTTGGGCTTTTAAAATAGTGATACAAATATTTCCGATGCCAGTGCAGATTATGGAGCTTAGACTAGAAGACACTGAACCATCCATTTAGCTGTTCAGATGGGTTCCTGCTCCCAAGTGCCTCCCAGTGTTTTTAACCCAACCTGGTTTTAAACATTTCCTGTGATGCTCTCGGCAGCCTCAGCAGATTTCTCCACAGCTTTCTTTGCAAAAGAGCCTGGAGACCTCCAGAGCAGACATGGAGCGGGCACCCCAAAGTGCCAACATCGCCACAGCGTTGCTCTCCACCTGTGTCCCTCCCAGCCGGCACAGTCACGCTGTTCACAGCCAAGCACAGAGATGGAGGCAGTGCAGACCCCACTGCAAATTTCTGCTGCAGCAGCCAGACTGTGACGGTTTGATGTGGGGGGGACGCAGACTCACCTCCTCTTGGCTCCATTTTATCTTCAAACTGCTACATGCCACAACCACTAGAGACACTTCAGTTATTATTACCACAAATTCAGAAGTCAATCCACTTTGCATGCTCCAGATACTGAGTCCAAGCCCCAGCTACACCACTCCATCCAGCTTCATGCAGAAAATCAATTCTGTCTGTGGGAAAGCTGGTGAAGCAGCAGGCTTCAGCCAGGATAGCTCAGACACTGCTTAACTGCGAGCAGCTCCGGGTATCACAGTTCCCTCACACCTACTGTCACAGCCCTAGGGCTGTAACAAAAGTTGTAGCTCCCAGAGATCAGTCTGAAGCGCTTTTGAAAGTCAGTCCTGTGGTTTGCATGAAAACCTATAGCAAAGACAATAGTTGTAGATTTCCCATTTGAACTGCAAGCGCTGCCTGGTTTGCTACTTTATGGGTAGAGCAGAGACCAGAAATTCCTCTTATCCAAGGCCACAGCTCTGGCCAAAAACCCATGGCAAGCAGCCTGAATAATTTTTCTCTGGAGAGATTTAATGATTTATCCTTAAAGATTGCTAGTATCATTCCAACAGGAAAGCATTATCCCACTAGCTTGAAGCAGCATAAATGTGACCAAAGTTTTACATCTCCACACATCCTGTCTTGTGTTTTGCTGGTTTCCCAGGGAAAGACTCCTTATGCTGCAAGCCTTCTGCTTCTCGCTGCAATGCTTCATCAGCCGTGAGGAGTTTTGTGGGAGCTGGGGAGTAGCTCTGCCCTCATTATGATTGCTCCTGTTAAGATGTTATGGATGGTCTCTTTTATTCCTCCTTTCCCCAGACTTTGCTTGAATACTAAGAGACTTAAATCACTTCAACTTAATGTCAAATACGTCAAAACGAAACTATCTTTCCTGTCAAAGTTCAAGTGTGACACCGCCACAGCAGATAGCTCTGGCTGCACTGAGAGATGAACGTCCTTTCATGGAAAGACAGATGGGAATGTCCTTCTTTGCTTCTTAACCTCCTTGAAAGTCACGTTCTCAAAAGAGGCATGCATGCTGAAATGTACTTGCTAGACACCGTCTCCTCCACCATTCTCCTGTGTCCCCCTACCAAGGCTGTGGATTTAAAACACAGACCTCCTAAACCTGGAAGCAGCAGGCTCAGGACTTGAGATTGGGTCTTTGTCATCAACTCTCAGGTGGCCACCACATGCCCTGTGGGACCAGTGCTGATGCTGTCCTGAACGAGGGGCTCCCTTCAGTGCCTTCAGGCTGTTCAGTCCCTGCTCCTTATGGCCAGCTGCAGTCACCAGCTCAGGGACCAGCTGCCCAGCTGGGACCTCCCAGTATGCCCCATGACGCTGCCCCTCACCTCTCGTGGGCTGGGGGGCTTCTCCCTCATATGGTCTCTGAGCTACCAACTCTGTACACTGAATTAAACGCTCTATGTGGCAGCCCCGCAGAGGTAGTACCTTCACTGCTGGTTATTTTAGCCTCTTAGACAGGTATTACCTTTACATTTGTGCTTGGATTTGGTGGCGTCTGAAACCTGGGGTCAGTGTTCTGCTAAAGAAGACAGGCCAGGTTTGCCAGAGCTGAGGTGCAGCTTTCATGCTGGCTGGTAACTCACCTCCTCTGAACTGTGCCTATTCACTTGGGCGCTGACAATACATTAGCACCTTCGTGTAACTCCTCCGTGTGCCAAAGGGAGAGACAAGCTCTCCCACTGCTCACCGCACAAAAATGAAAGGAGCTCGGCTGACTGTGGTAGAGCCGATCTGGCCGATCTGTGAAGATACACCACCACACTTTGGTAGGGCTGTATGGCTCATCACCCCGGAACCAGGGTAACCTCCATCAGCAGAGCTAATCTGCAGTGGAGATGTATCTTTTAGGACATGCTCTAGGTCTCATCTGCATTACAAAACACAGTTGTGCTGCAAATGGATCGCGATTGCTTAGGAATAAGAGCACCCATTTTAGATGCCTCTGTATTCTAACCCCAGCACCTCTCAATTCAGGAGGCCATTCTTCTACATTTGGCAGTAGCTGTACAAAATCGGAGTTCATCCTCCTCAGCTCCTGAGCTGCCTCAAAGCTGTCGCAACTCAAACATTTCTGCAGCGCTACTATGAACTCAATCAGAAAAACAGCTTTACAAAAAGAACAGCAGATCTTAAAGGCAGAACTGTGCTAGAGTCAACTGAGTTGAGTTTGACTATGTCAGCGGCATACTTTAGATAGGAAATGAAGACTGTAGCGTCAAGCCCACTGTGTTATTACATGTATCTCACTGAACAAGTCAAGCCCCAGAAGTCATGACAAACACTTTTCCAGAAGTCAGATAACGATGAGCCCGGGCTGGCCCAAATGGGCAGGCTGAGCTGTAGAGGAACACAGCTGGAAGATTTTCACTCTTCCTCGCAGCAGGGCAGGCCATCAGGAGTGCCTGTGGGGTCTGCCAGGCTGGCAGTACGGATCTGTCAGAACATCACAGTGCTCACAGGGGACTCTTTGTGACCCTGTGTGCAGTTTCTGAGGCTACAGCCTTGGTATGCATGCCCCCCCTGCAAGAGTGCAGGCCAGAGCAAGAGCAATCTGCACCCACCCATCTCTTCCAGGAGGTGTCCTGTATCTGAGCACATTTGTGCAAAGCTGCCTGTGGCTGGGTGGCCAAGAGCAGGAGAAAAGAGCTGGCCAAAGCACTTCTGCTGAGTTTGAGCTGCAAGGAGAGGAAGATAGGATAAAAGCTGCTGAAAGCACTGGCTCCCAAAATCCTCAAAACGGCTGTGGAATACCCCAACAGACAGAGAGTAAGAGATGTGTGAGATCGTCTCCCTGCACACTTTGGGTGTTATAATTCAGTCCAAATCCTTTTGCTATGCCAATACCCTTGGCTCCACAAAGCTGAGCACTCTCTTGTCTTGGTGAAGAGGGACAGTTTTGGAGGAGAAGGGCAGATTTGTTGGCTGATCCCCTGATCCAGCCTCCACAAGTAGACTTTGGAGAAGAGCAGGCCTGCCATCATGGAAAGTCTACTGTGGATGTGTACACATATGCCAACAGAGAGGGGAAGAAGCCTGGACCATAGGCAGAAACACCTCTCCCAGTGACCTTCTATGCTGGAGGGGGTCAAAAGGTTGACCCAAGGCCGATTCAAAGAATGGACTGAAAAAGTGTCTGTATGTAAGGCTGCCTCATACTGGAAGATGTAAAGCATTCGGGATTTTGGAGCAGAAAGATCTGAACTCTATGTCTACTGTTGATGTGCAGCTGCAAGTGACTACAGCAGATGAAAGATCTGTAGCTAATCACAATGGACTGCTTCCAGCATGCTTCCTATAGGAGCATACAGGTCATCCCCCTAAATCACACTGTGATATAGAACATGTTTCTACCCAAAGTTTAGCCTTTAAGCTAAGCCAGGGTGCTCCTGCTGCATGCATCTACGAAGACATCACAGGGACCACAGTGCAAGCTGACACTGCAAGATGGTGCTCTGTTGTTGGAACAGAATAATGGCATTGACTTTTTGCTGTTCTCCCCATATACACCTTGCCCACACCAGCAACAAAGCTCGTATATACTGAATTACTTGAGTCAGATCTGCTCCGTGAATTCCCCTCCGAGTTGGGGAGTGAGGTCTGTATCATGAGCTGTACCGTCTCGACCTTGTCCTGTGCTTTCACCTTGCTCCAGCAGATAGCTTGGATGTGCCTGGTGGTTTTGGGAGCTCTGACGTCGCTCTGCTCAGAAAGGACACAACACATATGAGGACACAATGCACAGGAGGACATAACAACACACAACTCATTAAGCTCTCCTGTAAGGGAACTTCCACCAGTGCCTAGGCGGCAGCAGCATGTTCAATATAAAGTCTGTTTTGCAAAACCACTTAGCCAGTTCTCAAGTATTTTTAGACTCTAGATAATTTTGGCTGGTATTTTGTGATTATGCTAAAAATGTGGTAGTGAATAACTGTTTCAATTCATGTACCATGTGGAGGAAAGATCTGCAGGCCTTCCTCTAAACCACGAAAATGTATTTTACTAGTTATATTAATTCGAGCATCAAACAGGCAGTGCTTGCTGCTAAAAGATGTAGGACGAAGCAGGTATTTTTGCAGGAGGACCCTCCACAAAACTTTCCCGGAGTATCAAGCTCTTAAATTTGCTGTTAGGAGCCTATGATTCCTGTGAGAAATTTCGGGCAGAAAGAAACTACTGTACTTCATTTCTGAGACAGGCAAGCAAAGTGCACGATTCCCTGTCTCTCCATCACTGCTTGAATCCTTGCTCAGGACAGAGCTGGAATGTCAATTATTAGCCTCCTTGTGATGCACAGCATTTGTCCTTATAAAAACACTTTTGTAAGTAACTGCAAACTCTTTTTACAAAGGCTAATTCCTATCACGTTAAATTGTCTTCCAGGTTTTATTTTATCTTATTTTACTCTTGACTTCTCATTTTCTTTCCTCTCCTGTTGCTTCTCAGCTCTCCTAATTAGCACTTCATTGAAAAGGTAAAAAACTCAGTCTCTTCAAGTAAAGCAAACAACACTGACCATTACGGGAGTTTTCGTCCTTGAGAAAAAGAGCCGTCCCAGGCAGCAGTCTGAGGACATTGTCTCTGTAAACCTCATTCAGCTTTTGCTCTGAACTTTAGATTTTACAATTAATTACAGGCTGCTGAGACTTGATTATAGGATATAACAAAGCCAGAGGATGCCATTTCCACACCTCCCATGTAGGTTTTCTCTTGGATAAACAATTTATTTGTTTCTTAGAGCTTACCTCATATGTAACAACACATTCTACAGATTGGTGTTCTTCTATCCCCACAATCCATTTCTCCATTACAAACGGTGGCTGAAAAAAACATGACAGGAGTTTTATAAAGTGCTCTTCATCTCCTGACTTGTTTCTGAAACACCCCAAAGATATTTTCAATGTTTGCCTTTTTTCATCCGTTTCCATGCTGTTAACATCAATACTTTTCTTAAAATCTTATGAGACAAAGCAATATATTTTGGAATTATTTACTTCCTTGTTCACAAAAGGAAACTGAGAAGAGATTTCTGTAAATAACAGACAGTAGGTAAGACAACATGGAATGTTTTCACGGGGGCATAAACCTTTTTCATTTCTGTGCATGCACAGCTTTTTTCTGCTAGACTTACAGAGGCCAGCAAGAAGAAATATATGGAGATTCTCAGACATATTCCCTGACAGATATAAAAATGTTGAAGTATGTGAAAAGATAATGTTTTGTATCTGGTTATTAGTTGATTTAACTTTAAGCTTTTTTTTTTTTTTAAGGAGAAAATTAAAATGTCCAAGATAAAAATTAGACAGAAAACTATTTTGCAACAAAATAATAATAGTAATAATGTTAAAAATCCCAAGTGTTCCAGAAATCACTAACTACAAAAATAGTACTAGCGTGAATTAAATATGAGAATCCTTTTTGACAAATACTCATATTTTCACATTTTCCTTAAAATTCTGACTGTTGAGAATCTGATTTTCAGTTTTTCCTTTAGAAAAAATAACCGAAGGTTCTCCCAAAATTTTGCCCCAAAAATTCACAGTTAAAAGCATCCAGGACTTTGGAATTTTTTATCAGTGCACATTAGAGCAGCATTCTAATTGGTAATCAAGCTGTATATTTTTTCATTTAGGAATTTATTTTGTTAGCTATTACCGAATGGAGCAGATTAATAAAAACAAACAATTAAAATAACAGCAAACAGAATGCTCCCTGCGTTAACAAAGCTTCTGTTGCTCACGGTAAAAGCAGTCTAAACCCTGGCTGGTAAATATTTACAGGCAGGTTCTGAAATAAGGTAAAATGCCCAGTGACACTGAATTGCAGATGTTCAGTGCTGTACTGTCTGTTGATGTGTTTCAGTCTTTGCAACCTATCGTTGCATGAAAGAGGGAGTTTTAGAACCATGTAAAAGTTCTAAAACCATGTCAAAAAAAAAAGAAAGAGAGAAAGAAAAAAACCCAGACAAAGAACATGAAGTTTCAAACTGCAACATTTAAATCACTTTCTTCTCTTGAAAAGGAAAGTCATTTTTTGAACATTCTTTTCTTTAGAAGGGGTAATAAATTCAGAGGATAGAACATGGAATTAAAATAAGAAAATATAAACTAGTTCCTTCTCTTATTTTTCTATTGTTAACATTATTGTCAGCTTAAAAGAGAACCAAAATACCTAACTCCTATTATGATACAAATCTGTTTAAAATGTGCATTTTATTTAAAAGCTGTCAAGAGATTGAGCTTCCGAAAGCACAAAAGTCGACCGCTGTGGTATTTTAATGTCTTTGTTTGAGATCTGTGAATTCGTGAAAGCTTTAAGGCTGTAAATACCTTTGTCATCTTTAAAATCTCTACATCAGGTAGGTTAGTGTTGAATGTCACATCTTTTATGTAGGTTATTGCAATTTCATCCCCGTCCATCTCCATGTACATTTTCCATTTACAATCCTATGAATAATAAAAAAAAAAGAATGCTGGATTGTTAGAACACACACACAAAAAAAAAAGAAACAAAACTGAAAGCAAAAACAACCTAAACCCTAATACTCAATATATGAGGGGGAAAAAACTAACCCAATGACAAAGATCAGGAACATACACCTATTTTAGGATATGCATGTTTTCTGATAAAATTGTTGATAATGGAAAACCCTTGGGTTCTCTTGTTTGTTCTGCTCTCAGCTCACCCTGAGAGACAGTCACCATGTTGACAAGTCTGGAAGTCTTCAGAGGTGCGGATGCCTCTGACGGGCCCCAGGAGGACGGTCAGCCCATCTGAGCAGGCAGCACAGGGAGCTCCACACACCCGCCTGGCGTCGGAGGCACAGGGAGCGGTGGGAGCTGCCACGCGGG